TTGGGGGTTTCAGCCTTGGTCTTGGCTGTCAGGTTTGGCACTGAGGAGAGGCTGGGGTGGATCCAGCCCTTCCCTCACTGACTGGATTCAGTGTGCCAGTCCTGCCTGTCTGTCCAAGGAAGCTCTGCCTCCAGACACTCAGCCTCCTGTCTCTGTGACCTAGAAGGGTCACCTCCCACTGGGGGCTGCTGCAGCCCCTGAAGAGTGGGAGGAGAAGTCCTGGACAAGTTGTTCAGTGACCTGAGTTCTTATCTCTAGGGCACCACTCACAGGCTCCATGATGTTGGGCAAGTCACTTCTCTGTGCTTCAGTTTCCCTTTGTGCAGAGTGGAACTAATCAGAAGTGATGAGGCTGTATTTGTGGATCTAGGAAAGACCCTCCCAGGAAATGGAGTCAGGAATGAAGCTGAGAGAGCCCAGAGCAGGCCAAGTGACCCACAGGAAGTGGGTAGGGCAGGCTGTCCACACCTCTCGCCCTGCCCCTTCTCCTGAACCTTCTTTCTTTTTTTGTGGTACTGGGGCTTGAACTCAGGCCTTCACCTTCAGCCACTCCACCAGCCCTATTTTTGTGAAGGGTTTTTCAATTTAGGGTCTCACGAACTGTTTGCCTGGACTAGCTTTGAACTGCAGTCCTCCTGATCGCTGCCTCCTGAGTAGCTAGGATTACAGGTGTGAGCCACCAGCGCCCAGCTCTTGAACCTTGTTTGGCTCCTCATTGCCCCATGGTAACATCCTACTTCCACTCTATAGAGATCTAGCTGTAGGTGAGGCAAGTGACTTTGCCTTTCTCAGCTTTAATTTCCTCAATTTTCCAGTGGGAGGAACCAGCCCCATTCTGGAGCAGTGAGGGTTGGAATAAGTAGAGTCCATGACTGAGCACACAGGACCAGGTATGGCATGGGCTCACTCATGGGAAGGGTAAGATATCAGAGACCTGGGTCATGTCCCTGCTGTACAGATTCCCAGCTGTGTGATGTCGGTCTGTGCTGGAGTCTCCCTGAGCCTCAATTTCCCCATCAGTTTTGAGAGTGAAAACACTGAGAGAAAACAGTGTGCATAGGGCAACTGCTCAGGGAATGATGAGGGGTGAGGAAGTAGGAGTCTGAGGACTGGGAGGCTTACAGAGAGGGGAAATGACTCACCCAAAGTCACCCAGCTTGTGAGGGGCAGAGCTGGGGTTCGAACCCATCCCTGTACATCTTTAAACCTGCCACTGTCACCTGCCCCAGAGACTAATGATGTGGGAATGGGTGACTCGTCAACCATTCCCTTAATCCTAGCCAGAAAAGCCAGTGTGACAAACCAGACTTGGGTGTGCCCTTGGAAAGGGTGGGGCCCTGTGGACTCAGAGCCTGGGAGATGGGAAGGGTGAGAGGCATCTCAGGGCAGCTGACCTCTGGAAGTCCACAGAGTCCCACCCTTGCCCCTGATCCTCACCACACACTGAGGGGAAGACAGAGGCCCCTTTGACAAACTGAGAACTAATTCTGGGAGATTGTGGACACCACACAGGATGTGTGTGTGTGTGTGTGTGTGTGCCAAGGCATGTTCCTGGCAAGTTACTGATGTCTACCCATCCACACAGGTATCCATGTGCTTATGTGCTCATCTATCTATTCATCTATTCCACTTGTCCAAACACCCCATTCATTCATCCATCCCTCTACTCATCTATCCATCCATGCACCCTTCCATTCATCCATCCACGCACCCTTCCATCCATCCATCCACCCACACCCATGCATCCATCTGCCACCACACCCATCCATCCAACTGTCCACAGTTGACTCCAGGGGTAGCAATGGGAAGGCTTAGCAGGTAGTGGGTAGGAGCACAAGCACAAATTGCCCAATGTCCTTTGTGACCCTAGAAGAATTACCTATTTCTCTAGAATGGTAATAATAGTCCCAACCTTGTGGACTTATGAGGATTACATGAGATCATGTGTGTAAAACCATATCACAGTGTCTGATATGCATTAGGCACCAATAATTGTAGCTATTATTTCCTCTGAAGATCCATCTTGTTTGGTTCTTGTTTCTTTTTCTGCACTGGGGTTTGAACTCAGGGCCTCATGCTTGCTAGGCAGGTGCTCTTACTGCTTGAGCCACTCCCCTCACCTTTTTGGTGGCACTGGGGTTTGAACTCAGGGCCTTGTGCTTGCTAGGCAGGTGCTCTACCACTTGAGCCACCTCGCCAACCCCCTTGTTTGATTCTGAATGATTGTCATGGCAGGGCTTGGATCCTGTGAAAGTGCTGGGCCTCAAAGGTACCAGACAGAGGCCCTCCACCTTCACTGGGGAAAGTGAGCAGAAATGTGTGTTCATGTGGAAAGTTCTGACCAGAGTCTCTCCAAAGAGAGAGCAGCACTTGCAGTAACTTGGCTTTTCTCTGTTCACTTTAGGATCTTCTAGAGACTGGCTCCTACCCAGCAGGAGTCTGGGAGATGGCAGCTGCTGCTAATTCAGCCCTGAAGACAGACACCTGCCCACTCAGCACCATTACTTAGAAGATAGAATTCAAGAGGTAAGATTAAGGTTGTTACAGATGTGTACCTGTCTAGCTCATTGTCCATTCAGGAAACACTCATTGATACCTCCGCATCCCTCCCCCTAAGTTATCCATCTCTTCTGCCTGGTCAGCCACCTGTTTGACCTCTCATTTACTCGCTATCCATCCAGTAGCTCCAAACACCCCCATCCATCTGCCACTCATCTACCTACCCACTCACCTACCCACCCATCCACCCATCTATTCATCCACTCACTCAATCCATCCACCCACTCATTTTATCTATTCGTTACTCAGTTTCCTTACCCATTCATCTGCTCAACCGTCTATCCACCCACCCTTCCACCCACCTAACCCATCCATTATCTGGTCACCCTCTCCATCCACCTACCCATCTGTCAGCCTGGTTTATCCATCCATCTGTTTGACCACCCACCTGTGCATATATCTGTCTCTTCATTCATGGCTCCGTTACTTCCTCATCCATCCCTCTGTTCACTGCTCATGCCTTCATCTTTCATCTGGGCAAGGAGCATTTTCTGGTGTCTTCTCTGTGCCAGGCCCTGCACTAGCCTCTCTGGGCCTCCAAGGTCAGTCAGAGATGGGACCTGGGCAAAATCAACTCTCACACAAGGTGGAAAGTAGCTTCCCTAACAGGAAAAATCCCAGAGCTAGAGAATCCAAAAGGGCTTCATGGTGGAAAAGGGGGAGGAGCTGGAGCTGGAGGAAAAGAAGGTCTAGGGAAGAGAAGGAGCCATACTGTACAGGTGGTGGTGTGGGCAGCCAGGAGGGGAGGCCAGGGTTTAGGAGCCTTTGCAGGTAAGAGACCACTTAAGAAACAAAGATCCCAGTGCAAGTAGCTTAGTAGGAGGTAGACTCAGGAAATAGTATAGGGGAGTGAGAAGTGAGGTGAGGAAGAGAAGAACTTGATGAAAGGCATGTTATTGATAGGGTTACTGCTGGGGACCATGAGCCAGATCTAGCTGGGGCAGCCAGGGAGATAGCATGTGACACACCCCTCAGTGTCATTCCAAGGAGGAGCAGAGACAGGGGTGCTTGCCTACCTGATCCTGGTGGTATTAGCTCTTCAGCTGGCCTTGTACGCAGCAGAGCAACTGGGTGTTGGCTGTTGGACTCAGGGCAGGTGAACCCTAAATGGTGAGGGCTCAGGGGATACTAGAGCAGCACCGACCATCCTCACTTTGGCATATCCTGATGTATCATCACCATTTTAACCCATGGGCTTGGTAAGGAAACCTGCACTGCACTGACCTCAAGTATTTGCAGGTTGTGGGTGAGCATAGGGACAGAGGTGTCTAAGGAGCTGGCCAGGCTGTCCAGCTTGGAAGGGTGGTTGGACATGAGAAAACGTCTTCCCAGATTGGGACAAACAGCAATGCCCACCCCTCCCAACTCTCCCATCTCCCTCCACATTCTTGTTAGACATTTATCAGGCAGCCTCAGCCTCCTCACTGGCCCTCTAGCTCTTGGCTCTGGCCAGATGGCCATCGAGAATGCCCCTTCTCTCTGGACCATGACTGGATTAGGATAGATTTTGTGGCCATCCTCAAGTGCTCTGTGATTGATTATGACATCTGCGGCAGTCATACGGGGAGGAGGTGCATACAGGCCATACGCTGGCCTTCCCTGCATGGAGTGATCTCTAAGGCGCCGTCTGAGGTTGGGCCTTGATTATGAAGTTGTGAGCACCCAACCCCTGGGCCTTCTCCAAGAGGTGAATGCCATGGGTCATTGTTGGTGAGAGTCTTTAAACCTCTACTTTTGAGCCCTGATTTGGGGCAGTAAGTCTTAACACCACATGGGATTGCAGGGGCCTGAGAACTGGGATTGGAGTATGGCACCATATCCAGTTAGGCCTCAGGGCTTGGGGTGATGAGTGTTGGTTTCTTCCCATCCCCCATATTGGTAGCACAACTCAAAGGCAGTGTATTTCTTGGCAAATGACGACATCTCTCTGAGCTTTAATTTCCTCACTGGAAAAGGGAACAATAGTTAGAAACAGTGTTATAAGAATCAAATGAACCAGCTTATTAGATTTGTTTATTTTGAGAAACCTTCACACTAGACTTGTGGATGAATACCTGACTGGTATACATTTTGGCCACTGTGCTCATGACTCTGGAGGGGGTCTCACCATGAAGGGGCCCCTGAGGGAGGGCTTCTGCTGGTGCCCCTCTTCCAGGGCCTGTGTCTTTGTGTGTGCCATGTGGTCCCCTAACTGTCCCTCCCAGTCAATGATTTCTTGGCATCTGGCAACGTGGGGCCAGTCCTTGTCCTGGCTCTTTCCGGATGTTACCGAAACCTGAGGTGCCTGGAGCCTCAGGGACTGGGCATGGGGTGTCCTGCTCCATCCGGAGGCATCTCCCGGTGACTCCCAGGCCCCACCCCTGGGTCATGTGGCAGCTACTGCCTAATATCCTCTCTAAAAGCTTCAGTCCTGGTCTTGGCCAGTGCTCTGAGCTTTCTGGATACTGGGAGGCCGTGTCTGCAGGTGCTGAGGCTCACAGGAAGCAGATTGCAGCCTGTGAGTCCCAGGATAGATTGATCATCTTCTATTGGGTCTGTACTTTCTGCTGTCCACTCTGGCTTCAAACCTTGTCTGCGGTTGAATCTCCTTGTCTAGCTCAGGTAGTGTACCCCAGTGCCTTTCTCCATTCTCTTCTAGGAATGCCTGGAGCCCCCTAAAACTGGGTTTCCCTATTCATGGTCCTGCCTGTTAGCTTTAGTATCTCGTCCTGGTCCATATTTTGCTCTGTGAGGTGGGACAAGTCTTCTTTCTCCTTTTGCCTCAGTTTTCCCACCTAGAAAATGGGGAACTGACCTCCTTTTTTGCTAAAGCTTCTTCTAGCAAAACAAATTCTCTTATCTGATTTCACCATTTGTACCCATTGAGCAAGAGCCTGCATACTTTGACTGAAGGGACTGTCCTACATTTCTTAGAGTTCTTAAAAACTGCACAGTTGTGTAACCAAATTGCCATGCCCATGTTTGTGTGGGAGTGTCCTTTGGACACTTGGCAAATTTGTGGTTCTGGGTTTCTACTCAGGAGTCCTCTCTTCTGGATCTTTCTTTGTGGCTCTAATACTCACTCCCTAGGAGTCCCTCTGTCTGTCTTTCTCCTTTTCACCCTCTCTCCCTTCCTCTCTTTTTCCTTCCCTCCCTCCTTCTCTCTCTCTCTCTCTTTCAGAGAGAGAGAGAAGTGCTTAGTTTCTGGATGCTTTTGGACAAGTGATTTTGTTCCCAGTTAGTTTTTGGCTCTGAGAAGTGGGGAAGCAGGTGTGAACTTGACCTTGCTGATTGTCTCCAAGTGGTTTTGGGAGGGACATCAACAGAAATGGGAGTTCCAAGGCCTGTGTGATACTCCCTGGGTGGGTCCAAGGTGCCAGCCCTGGCAGAGATGCCAGAAGTGGATATAGCACCCTCACCTGCCAGGTAGCTGGCCAGATGTGAAGTCACCAGCTGGGAGAAGGGTGCTGGGCTGGGCTCTCTGGCCTTTGATTCTTTTGGTTCTGTTCCCTGCAGGCCTCGAGCTGCTCAAAGTGTGAGCTGGAGCAGCCATGACCCGTTGGACATCCCTCAAGGCCTCCAGGCCATACAAACCCAGCTCTTGGGGTATGGTGGGCTCCCACCGGCGTCTGAATGCCCCAACCCTAGCCACCTTCCCCTGGAGGGCCCAGGAACCTGGTACTGAGTCATCTTCCCAGCATGACCCCCGGGTTCCCCAGCCCCGTCGGCCCCCTGCCTCCTGGCCCAGGCAGAAGCAGCATCCGCCATTACGACCCCAAGCATCAGCTCTTCAGACCCATGGTGAGGTGGTCAGCTGGAGCACCAGTGGGGGAGGATGGCAGAGTGAGGACAGAAGGCCCCTGCAGAGCCTGGGGTCCCGTGGTGGAGACTTTGCACTGGACAAGTGACTTGGATCTCAATTCTCCTATTTGTTGGCTAAGTAGCAGAGGGTGATAGGGGAGTCACTTGACCTCTCTGAAGTCTTCATGGGCTGTTAGAGGCAACCTGAGGGCCTTGGCTGTGTCTAGCCTAAGGTGCCCACACCTTGCTGGCTCTTTCTGTGGTTCTCTGGCCTCCATGGTTGTGTGTCTTATACCCACTAGCACTGTGGCCTACTAGCACAGACTCTGGGATTGCTTCCCAATCTGGCTGGTTGTGTGGTTTCCACCCTCACTCATGTCCCATGTATTGGGAACAGAGGTGTCTCCAAGACCCTGGCTAGTGTGGACTTTGCCAGGAGTTGTGCCATACAGACAGAGCTGAATCCCAGCCTTGCCACCTCTGCCTGGGGGCATCAGGCAGGTTTATTCCCATTCCAAGACTCCCTGTATGAAATCTGGGGTAGGCCCCCTCTCTGAATGGCCCGAGGTGTCAGCAGAAAGCCCTGCATGGCACCTGGACTGTTGAGGATGCCCAGCTACCTGGGAACGTTATCCTGGGGGCCTCAATGACTTCCCAGTAATGTGGTGGCAGGTGATCCAGAGGCTATGTTGGTTCCAACCTGGTGGTGTGACTGGGTGGGGATTGGGTTGCATAGCGTCCCTATCGGGGGAAGGCACATGCCCAACTTGTTCAAGTACTGTCATGCCAGTAAGCCACATCTCTACCCCTGTTCTCAGCCCAGACCAGTTGAGACAGGCTAGTGCCTATGACCACAGGCGCAGGCAGTGCTGTGACCCCTGGCTCAGCCTGGCACCAACCTGCCTGTGTGAAGTCTGTGGGGCAGTGGGGAGGGTACATGGCCTGGGTCCTGAGGCTGAGAGCAGGGTTTGTTCTGCTGGCTGTGGTACTGGGTTGCAGGCCTGCTCTCGGAGAATCAGTGTGCGTGAGTGTATGCGGCAAGCTGGCCTGGAGCCAGGTGCTCCCCAGAGTGGGCTAAAGGTGATGATGGGAGCAGGTGACACTTGTGAGTGCTTTGTAGAGATGAGGACAACAGGGATGGGGGCGGAGGCCTTTGGGCTGAGGTCAGAGTAACCCTAAGTAACCCCTGGCTGGGTGCCCACTCTAGGGCCTATGGGTGGGTGTGGAGTGGGTGCTGTTGGTGAGGTGTATGAGCATCAAGAGGGTGAGCTGGGTGAGCTTGGGGGATCTGAAGTGGAGCTTGGCAGGCCCTAATCTAGGTCTGGGGGTGAGACACTGAGTGATGTAGAAAATGCCCTGTTGTTTTCTAAGGGAACTGGTGGTCTCAGTGGGGGTGACAGACCAGTGCTACCCTGTCTGCAGTATTATTACCATTTTTACGGGTCTGTGCTGAGGAGGGACAGCAGGAACAGGTGTGTATCACCCCCCTCCCCGGGACACAGGGAAACAGCAGCATTGGAGTTACGGCCTGAGGGAGGTGAGGTGGCAGTCATGGGAAGATATCTGAGAGGGGTCCAACTGGGCAAGCCAGGGGAGGCTCAGAGGTGAAATTCAAAGGCGTCATGGCGCTATCCATGTAGATTCTGTGGGTCTTAGGGGCTTCTGGCTGTGAGCAGAGGAAGACCTAGATCTGACTTGTATCCACAGTTTCCCCTTGGCTCCCATGGGGACCAGAGTGGAGGGTATAGGAGGGAATAGTCACAGGGAGGCTGGTGAGGTGGCTCCTGCACTGGTCTAGGCAGGTAATAACTGGGACTCAGGCCATGGGGGTGGAAGAAGGGGTCAGATTCTGAATATATTTTGAAAGCAGAGCCCTTGGTGTAGGAGTAAGAATTGAGATGAATCCGGGGTTTTGGGCCAGAGCTGCTAGGCGGTTGGGAAGGCCGTTTTCTAAGCTGAGAAGGTGGAGTGAAGATTGGGCTTCGGTGGGAGGGAAGATGGGGGTTTGGTGGAGGGTAAGTGTAGACTGGAATGTCTGCCAGTCATCCTTATGGGCCCTGGTAGGGGTGGGGTGGGCAGAGAAGAGCTGGGACCACCTGTCCAGCCAGACCTGCTTTCTTCTCTGTTGCAGGAGTTCCCCCTCCTGGAGCCAGCCTGGGGGTGGGCCAGGGCCCCCCCACCCCAGGGATGACTGCAGCCAGCCGGGCCAACCCCTACAGCATTGTGTCATCGGAAGAGGACGGGCTGCACCTGGTCACCATGTCAGGCGCTAACGGCTTCGGCAATGGCAAGGTGCACACACGCCGCCGGTGCCGAAACCGCTTTGTTAAGAAGAATGGGCAGTGCAACATTGAGTTCGCCAACATGGACGAGAAGTCGCAGCGCTACCTGGCCGACATGTTTACCACCTGCGTGGACATCCGCTGGCGCTACATGCTGCTCATCTTCTCGCTGGCCTTCCTTGCCTCCTGGCTGCTGTTTGGTGTCATCTTTTGGGTCATTGCTGTGGCCCATGGGGACCTGGAACCAGCCGAGAACCGTGGTCGTACCCCCTGTGTGCTGCAGGTCCATGGCTTCATGGCGGCCTTCCTCTTCTCCATCGAGACGCAGACCACTATTGGCTACGGGCTGCGCTGTGTGACTGAGGAATGCCCCGTGGCCGTCTTTATGGTAGTGGCGCAGTCTATCGTGGGCTGCATCATCGACTCCTTCATGATTGGTGCCATCATGGCCAAGATGGCACGGCCCAAGAAGCGGGCACAGACACTGCTGTTCAGCCACAATGCCGTGGTGGCTCTGCGCGACGGCAAGCTCTGCCTCATGTGGCGCGTGGGTAACCTGCGCAAGAGCCACATTGTGGAGGCCCACGTGCGGGCCCAGCTCATTAAGCCCAGGGTCACAGAGGAGGGTGAGTACATCCCACTGGACCAGATTGACATCGATGTGGGCTTTGACAAGGGCCTGGACCGCATCTTCCTGGTGTCGCCCATCACCATCCTGCACGAGATTGATGAGGCCAGCCCGCTCTTTGGCATCAGCAGGCAGGACTTGGAGACAGACGACTTTGAGATCGTGGTTATCCTGGAGGGCATGGTGGAGGCCACAGCCATGACCACACAGGCCCGCAGCTCCTACTTGGCCAATGAGATCCTGTGGGGCCACCGCTTTGAGCCGGTGCTCTTTGAGGAGAAGAATCAATACAAGATTGACTACTCACACTTCCACAAGACCTATGAGGTGCCCTCCACACCACGCTGCAGTGCCAAGGACCTAGTGGAGAACAAGTTCCTCCTGCCCAGCGCGAACTCCTTCTGCTATGAGAACGAGCTGGCCTTCCTGAGCCGTGATGAGGAGGATGAAGCAGATGGAGATCAGGACGTTCGAAGTCAAGATGGCCTCAGTCCTCAGCCCCGGCATGAATTTGACAGGCTTCAGGCTGGTGGTGGTGCCCTTGAGCAGCGGCCCTACAGACGGGAGTCAGAGATCTGAGTGCCCTTGGCTTAGGTGCAGCATCCACTCTGACAGGGAGAGGCCCCAGCGTCCCTTGGGGACTCTGGGTTTGGGCAAAACAGGCCAGGTGCCCCAGGGTTCAGACTCAGTAGTGTTTTAGTTGTTTTATGTTTCTTTGCAATAGCCTTGAAAGATTGGTGGGAGAGTGGGCAGCCAGAGTGGGCATTCCCCAGCCTTAGAGGCTGACTCAGGCACAGGGGTTGGAGGGTGGCCTCCTGGGAGGCCAAGCCACAAGAGCCGGGGGTTTCTGCCTGAAGACAGAGCTGTAGCCTGCCTGGAAGCAGCTGTGTATGTGTGTGTGTGCGTGGGTGCGTGTGTGTGCCCCTTGCTGGTTTTTAACTTGGAGAGGAAACCGGATTTCGGCTTTCTCAACCTTAGTTCAGATAAGACTGTTTACCATAAAAAAATTAACATATGATTGAAAAAATTTTTTTAATTTGAGGGGGGAAGGAGGACAATTAGGATTCCATTGTTGTGCTGTAGCACAAGCAGCTGGATGGAGGTTCTGGAAGATTCCCTGAGGCTGGTCTGATCTCTCGTCAATGTGTGCCTGGGTTCATCACTTTTAGGGGTAATTTAAGTCCTGTGTGTGATAGAAGAACCACGACCATGTTAACGATCATAATAAAGCTTTGAATGTCACTGGGGTAGGGGTGGGGACCTGGGAAGAAACTGGTTTGATCTTTTTGAGTTTCACTTTGTACCTCAGAGGTTCATCTCAGGGCTGGATATAGGACCTGCCCCTGAGGGTCCACTCCCTCCCTACTCCCAAGGGCCCTGTTTTGCCTCTCTATTTCTACCCTTGCACAGTGAGGGGTCATTGGAAATGCAGGAGTGGACGCTCCTTGGGAAAGGATGCCAGTTCCCACACACAGAGGAAGCAGATCAGCCATGTTCCTCCTGAGCCCACAGAGTGAGTTGTGCCTTAGAGACTGCAGATTGTTTGGCTCCAGTTGTTTTTGTTTTTATTGGATTTGCCTGTCCTTCTGTGTTGTCCCTGACCCCACTGAAGTCCCTGCTGGCCCCTCTGTCTGCTCTGGGAAGGTGCAAAGGCTGCGCCTACCTGGCTCAGGGCCACATCTGCCTGCCCCTTCCCTCCACACCTGAGCCAGTACTCGTGAACCGAGAAGAGCCCAGCCAGTCTGGGTCTGCAACTGAAAGACAGGAAAGAGTCTAGGAGAGGAGAGGGATCATCACTTCCTCCTGCCTGCTGAGGTAACTGGGGATGTCACAGAACAGGGAATCCTTGCTCAGCCTTCAGGAGCCTGGGGTGGGGCTTCTGCCCCTCTTTCTTCCTCCTCCCTGACTATCAGCTCTCTGTAAGGTGCCCAGGGCAGGGGGCCCTGAGGTTGGCCTGACTCCAGGCACCCTGATCAGGAAGAGGCTTGAGGCCCCTCTTGTGATTAGTGTTGACTCTGCTGCTCCATCTAGTTCCTGCAGGTGGCCTGGGCCAGGGCTGGGTGGAGCTCAGCCTTCCCTGGTACAGCAGAGGGAATCATGTCCTCTCTGGGCCAGGCTGCTCTGGAAGGTAGTGTTTAGAAAGCCCACGTGTTCCCACTGCCTTCCCAGGTTGCTCCAACCTGTGCCTCCAAGGCAGCTCAGAACCAGAGAGCACCAGGGACTCTCTGGCCCATAGGGGAAAACTGAGGCAGAGAGTGGAAAAGGGGATGTGCAAAGTCATATAGTGAGTAGGTGGGATGTGGTAGAGGCTGGGACTGGGATGGGCTCCTCTGCATACTTCTCCTTGAGGATCAGGGAACACGGAGGTCTAGACACTGTCAGCTCCCTGCAAGGTGCCTGGGGCAGGTGACTCTGGGATAGGCCTGACTCCAGGTCCCTTCCCTAGCCTCAGACCCCACCCTCATATCTGGCCTATAAGACTCAGCCTGAGGCAGCTTTTTCCTCACCTCCTTTGGACTCCTGGACCTGGCTCTTGGCCCCAAAGTCTGACTGGCTTTCCCAGCCTTAGCTCTGGGGTCTTGGGTACAGTTGGTGTGGGAGCACTTGGTTCTCACTCACCCTGCCCAGACTGCCAGACTGAGGGATGAGGAAAGACAAAGGTGTCCCCTGGCTACTGTGTGGGGATATAGGGACCTGGGTTCTCTCTGCCTTTCCTGGACCAGTGGGCCGACCTTCTACTCTCTGCATCCAAAGCAGAGCTCAGGGGCTCTAGGTCCCCCAAGACCTGCTCCTAGGCCATCTTAATGGCCTGGTATATTCACCTCTCTGGCCCATCCTCCTCCCAGGCCTGGGCCCGCCAGAATGTTCCAGTCCCCAGACCTTGCAGAAGAGCAGCCCAAGCTGCCTTTCATCTTTTGCCAAAGGCAGATGCTGTGTTTTCAAATTCTCTTGCCCTCCTTTTCTCCTTCCCTGTATGTATTTATTTATTATTTATTTATTGCTTGTGCTAAAGACCAAAATAGTCTCCTTCTTTAGTGCATCTATTTGGGACACCCCTGGGAGCAGCCATGCACCTGTGTGGGAGCAAGGAAGACTTGGCCCCTGGGGAGTGTGTGGAGAGGGGAGACAACGGTGCGCGTGTGTATGTGAGTATACATGTACACACACAACTGTTTCCAAGTATATGACTCCGATAATACAGATATGTGATATATACAGGTGTGTGTGTACTCAGGTGTCTGTATATGTCTACCCACAGGTATGTGTGTGCGTGTGAATGTTTTCCACGAAGGAGGCTGGTTTAATGCTCGCCAGGCTGAGGCTGGGTGCACATCAGTCAGGTTGGATGCTAGCGACATACATGGGCACAGTTCAACTTGAGAGTCCCCGCCCCTCTGCTCTGATGATACAGTCTGTGTACTGCCGATGTGCAGTGTCCAAAGGTGAGCATCTGTACTTGGATCCTGTGTTGGAGGCTGTGGTGTGTCTGTCCATGTGAACACATGTACATGTGTGCCTGTGTGAGTGTGTGTAGGTCCCAGGGTGTGTGTGTATGAGAATGTCAGTGGGGCGGTATGCTGTGTGCAGCCTGTGAGTGCTGCTCAGAACTCTGTGGCTGCCCTGATCCCCTGCTGGTGCTGTGCCATCCGGTCCCCGCCTGGCCGAGGGCATGGGGGGCGGGAAGGAGCCACTGTTGGTAGGCCCCTGTATAGGGTGTCTGCCCTGCGTGAGGTCATAGAATGTCAAATCTATTTTAAATGGTGAAACTGGAGAATTTTCATGTTATTTTCAATACATAGCGATATCTAAAGACATAGGCGATGAGACTAGACCACATTAAATGCATTTTGATCTCTTTGCTATTGTGTTGAGATGTGTGTCTCACTGTCTCCTGCCTGGCCCTACTCATGCTGAAAGATCACACTTCCTTGGCCCCTGCAGGCTCCCTGTGGGGATCTCTGTTTTCACGGGTGGAGTGGGATATGGTGGCAGCATCCGGGTGAAGGGACAGAGCACACCCTCCTTGAAGATCCCAGAGTGGTCTTCCAACCTGCATGTGTGTACTCATTCCCATGGAGGGCACAACTCCCAGGCAGCTGCCTTGTTCTCCCTGGCTGACACCTCCTGGTTGGAAAGTTTATGCAGAGAACAGCCGGCCCTCCCAGGGAGTAGGCCTTTTGATGGGGAGGCCAGTCGTGAGGTGGGTAGCCCTGTTTTCCCTGCAAGAACGGGGTGGGAGCAGGGCGTGCCAGTTGGAAGAAACCCTACTCTAGCCTGAGCTCAGATGATGCTGGGGCAAGGCTGGAGTGGCAGTTGGAGGACAGATAAGTGCTGCCTGCAGGAGAGGCACATGACATGTTTTCACGAAACGACTTTCATTGTGTCAAGGGGCTCAGAGCCTGTGGTCCATGGCTGAGGCCTGTGGGGAGAAAATTCTTTCCTTTGTCTAAGCTACTTTCACTCCTCTCCCCAGAAAAAACCCAGGGGACCCTCATTCTCTGGATTTAAATGATGATTCCAGATAACCAGGTAAGAAACCACATCATTCCTGGGAAAAGGTGATGTGTTCTTCAAAACAAGGTGTGGGGGATTTGGGGAGCCTTGGGCAGTGCTAGTCACAGAGACTTCTTAGAGGTCCCTCTGTTGGGACTTGGAGAGAGGAAAGGAGAACCTTGGAGCTGGTGGCTTGGTCTGGTGGGGACCTCCTCTGGCCCTGGAGTTCTCCCAGAACCAGAATACCAGAATCCAGAGTGCTGTGGCTTCACTGAATTTCCTAATTGACCAGGAGGCCTGGGACCCCAAGTGTGTGAAGACCTGGCCCCAGTTGGTGCTAAACATTGCTCAAATTTTGTGTCACTTGAGCTTTCTGTCTCTCACCCCTCCCCCACTTCCCCCAAAGGGCCCTGGGTCAGACAGACCCCAGGTAACTTGCTTGCTGGGGGATCTGGAGTAAATTTCTTTCCCCTCCAGCTTCAGTCTCCCCATCAGTAAACAGAGTATTCATAATAATGACCAGCTTGCAGATTTGTTAAAAAAGTGAGAGGGAGAAAGAGAACTTTTTTTCAGCGATCCCTTGGTGCCCTGATTCCTGATGAAGCACTTTGCTTTGGTGCTCAGATGCTGTACCTGCAGAGTGCGACCTGCTCAAGGTCACTGCCAGGAGTCACAATCTAGGCAGAGGCTGTCAGCTTCCCTGCCTCCCCAGGGATGAATTGAACCCACCTTTGAATCTGCTTTCAGCTAAATGAAACTGGGGTGGTGTGGGCTTCTGTGATGAGGGTAAACCAGCACCTGCTAAGGTGAAGTGTGAGGTCTGAAGGCCTGGGTTGACCCTGGGTACATCCTCCTGGGCAGGCCAAAGAGAAGTTGTTGCCCTGTTTTAGAGAAAATTGATTGAGTGGCACTAGTGCCTTGCCCAAGGTCACTGGAGAATCTAAGCTGGGATCAAACTAGACCTCAAACCCTAGGCCATCCTGTGGTCTTCATGTCAAGTCAGATGCCCCTCACTCCAGAGCACTAGACTTCCTGGGGCCTCTGCCTGCCAGTGGCCAGGGCTGGAGCCGGAGTCTTGGCCATCATGGGGACAACCTAGCTGTGGCCCCCAGGACTCAGATTGGAATTGCACATGGATATTTCCTCAGCATGAAGGGAGGCTGGACGGCTGCAGATCAGAGCTGCCCATTTGCTTCTTGGCAATGAGGGACCTCCAAGGACACACCCTATCCCACTATAACCCACCCTCTACCTAGCACGGTCTTAAAAATCAGAATGAAGCCTAAAACCATCCCTGGCTTCCCACCACATTGAAAATAAAATCCCTAATGGTCTCCTGGCCACCCAGCCCCATCCAACCCTCTCAGCATTCCCTGCTCAGTTCATCCTCCTTTTTCCTGCTCTTGTTCCAGGCTCCCTACCTCCTTGAACATGCCAACCCCCCCCTCCCCCCATTTCAGGACTTTTGCATGTGCTGCTTTCTCTGTCCAACACTTTCTTCTCAGATCTTAGCAAGTGTGGCTTCTCATCCTTCAGGTCTAGGCCTTACCTGAGCTGGTGTAAGAGAGATGGCCAGGATTCCCCCTAGGAATCTCTGTTATTTCCTGGGCTAGTTTGCTGTCTGTCATTTCCATGGCCATGAACTTGACCATGGCAGGGGCTGTCATCTCTTATTTGCCCTGGGTCACTGGGGCCAGGAGTGGTGCACAGTATGTTCTTCATGTGTATTTGGATAGATGGAGCATGGTGCCTGGGGCTTCCTACCTACAGAGAGGGCTCTGCAGGTGTCTCTAAACTGAAGCCCTTCCCCTTGACCCAGCCTGGACAGAGCCCAGCCACCTGCCACACTGAGGAGAGAAGAGCCCAGCCTGGGGCCAGAGGCAGCTGAAACTGAGAACCTTTCCAAGACCATAGGAGAGATTCCTGCTGGATGGAAGTTGGGCCTCAGGAAGGCTAAGGGAACCTGAACAGCTTTTCTCTCCAGTGCTTCCAAGAAAAGCAGAAGGGGCCTCCTTTCCCGAGGCTGGCCTGGGCCCTGGAAGACTTGGATTCCTGACTCTGGCCCTGGAGTGCTTATTGTGGCCATATCTGGGCCTCAGTTTCCCTATACAAGGAGCAAGGGCTCCATTCATTTCTTCGACAAGTGTTTGTGTACTGTCACTGTGTGCTGTGAGGTGTGGGTGTTGGGGTTGCAGTAGGACATCAGCCAGGCCCAGTTCCTATTGTCTGGGGTTTTCAGTCCACAGATCTGGGGGAGGAAGGCAGATGCTAATCCAGAGTCCTTGTCCAAGTCCCCTCAAAGTGGGGATTCTGGCTCACAGGACTTGGAGGGAACATTCTCCAGGTAAGGGGAAGAGCAATCAGCATGGGAAGGAAGGAGCTAGAGGAGGACGTATGAATAGCCTGAGTCCAGTGCGGCTGGATGCTCTTTGGTGCGTGAAGAGCATGGGGGAGTTCTCCCACCCTAAAGGAAGGGCACTGGGATTTGCCCCTGTCACCAGTCACTCCTTGGCTGTGCCACCCAGGATTGGGGAGGTGCTACGTTGATTCTGAGCAAGGTGGCTCCCATCCATCCAGAATGAGTGTCCTGAGAAGGGTGGCTGGCACTCATCCTAGTTAAGGTTGTCCAGGCAGAGCATGGACCAGAGTAATAACAATACAGAGAGATCCCAGGGGTATAATGGGACGCAAGCAGGGTGCTGGGGGGTGCAAACAGGGTAGGTCTGACTAGACAGAGGGACCAAGGTGGGCCTCCCCAGGAAAGCAGCTCTTCTGAGGACTGAGTAGGTGTTTGTCAGGTGCATGGGAAGGGGCTTCACGGGAAGAGGAACCTGCACAGGCAAAAGCCCTGGGGTGGATGAGAGTAAAAGGATACAGCTCAGCTGGGCTGGCATGGAGCAGATCACAAAGAACCCTATGGACACCACCAGGACCCAGGGGCACAGTGCAAGGCTCTATGGATCCAGTGGAGGCCTCTGTGTATACCATATAGAGCCAGGCCTTCATTTTCACTGGTCAGCCTCTCTTTGCCTCCTCTATAACATAGCTACATCACCTTCTCTGGAATGTCATCCCCTGGGGAGCAGGTACTTTTGTTTTTCCTTGGTCATGGCTATCCTCCAGCACTCAGAAGAGAGGGTACCTTGTACCCAGTAGGTGTTCAATAAATCATGTGTGCTCCAACAAGATACAAAAGGGCCTCAGGAGGTAAGAGGCCCCCTGAGTGTTGGCTTGTCCCTGGGAGGAGCCTGGGGCCTTGCCACAGTGTTGGATGCTGGTGGTGATCACCAGTGATAGGGACCAAGGAGGGATAAGACCCACAAGTGGTCTGTGAGGCCTCCTCTGTGAGGCCAAAAGCCCAGAGGTACTGGGGACCAGGATATACAGTACACCCTAGGGCTTTTAAAATGTCCTGAATCATGTGATCTCCTTTCAGAATAACATCTTGAAAGGCATAACATAAAAGAAAATACAGGGAGCTTCAAAGGAAACCCATTTTATTGAAGTTTAGTTATCAAAATGTAATGAATCCGTATGTGATACGGAGAGCTGCATTTCTTTGCTTGCCCACTGTACTGACCTTCACCTACCTTGGTGGTGAGCACAGCCTCTCTTCCAAAGTGTCCCAACAAAGTCATGGGGTATGAAAAATAAACTGGGTGTTGGGGTGCATGCCTGTAATCTCAGCTACATGGAAGGTGTAGGTAAGTGGATTGCAGTCTAAGGCTGGCCCAGGCAAAAAGCATGAGACTCCATGTGAAAAATAGCTAAGGTGAAAATGGCCAGGGGGTTTGGGTCAAGTGGTAGAGCGCCTGCCTTAGTAAGTGCAAGGCTCCGAGTTCAAATCTCAGCACTACTACTACTACTACTACTACTACTACAACAAAAAAAGATGCCTTGCAGAATGAGGTGGAGGAGGAGTGATTTCCAGTGATCACAGTGGGAGGGTCTGTGGACTGGGGTGCAGTGTCGCATTTGGGGCGACACTGCTAAGTTTGAGCCTTAGCATCTGCCCCTGGACCTTTTACCTACACCCACTGGTCCCTGGATCCCTGGAACTCTTCCTCCACCTGCCTCCCGGACATACACACCAGGACCACTAAAACCACAGCCCTTCTCACCTTGGCCCTTCCACTGGTTCGTGAACAAGCTGAGCTGTCATGGCTGGATGGATATAAATCACACCGAGCTAAGCCACAGCCCCCACCTGGTGCTTCTAACGCTCCTACCTTGAGACCCTTTCCTGCGCCTCCCTGGGGTCCCATCTCCCTTCAAGCTACATCTGACTGGAGGTGAACCTGGGGCTGCAGAAGAGAGGATATCCTGGTGCCATGGGGGACCAGGATGTGACTCCCAGCTGGGGCCTGATACAGCTGGGCACCTCCTGCCTGAGGCCTTGAGGCCATGGGAGGTAACTTCCTAGGGCTTCATAAGGAGCTGGGGACACTATCTTTGGGTCGTCCCAAAGTTGGGGCTCATCTTCTGGCCCCAGGGTGATGTCTCAGGGCAAAATGGGTCAGTGTCCCAACTGGGGGTTGTAGGGGTAGAGGGAATGGGACACAGGGACCCTTACTCAGTCAGGGCCAGAGCTTCCAAAGCTCCTGGAAAAGGCCGAATTGCAGGGACTGGGCTCTGGCCACCTCCGTCAGTGCCTGGGGACACTTTGAAGATGAAAGCCCAGGGCAACCAAATAAATCATTGTCCCAGCCAGGGCCCTTTGCAAATGAAAGAAGGCAGTTTAATAATAACTACATGGCAGAAACTAGTGGTGAAATGGGACCATCCCAACAGACCTACTGGCTGCTACCCAGGTTTTTTGGCAGGGTGGGGCGTCCCCAGTCTGGTGTGTCCTCCTGTCACACCCAACCCTGCAGAGTGCAGGTCACTAAATAGTGTCTCATACCAACACATCACTAATCAGAGCAACGCACACGTAAACAGAAAGACAGAGAGATAGCTGGAAACACATAGAGATAGAAGACAGATCAATTAATATTATAGGGACAGGAAGACAGAAAGAGGGACAGATAGACAAACTGACAGAAAGATGGACATACAGGCAGACAGATAAAATGGACAGATGGAGAGCAAGATAACTTGTCAGGCAGACATAGAGGGCAAGAGACAGGACAGACAGACAGGTGTCTTCATTTAAGAGTGAATACAAAGCATATCCTGAATTTTTCTCTAGTGCTCTTGGAGCTATGTTGCTTGGCATTGACTGATTTCATCTTCAGAGCTGGAGCATGTATTAAAGAGGACACCTGACACTAAACTTCACCTGTGCCTGCTGATTAGGTTACAGCCAGATCTGTCCCAGAATGTATGCAGGAGAGCAGGGTGGGTGGTAGCCCCATGTCTCCTTCCTGATCTGGACCCAGAGCTCTGTCCAGGTGGTGTGTGTATCTAAAACCAACAGGGAGTTTCTGAGGTCCTGTTTGCAGCTGTCCAGAGTTGGGAATGTGAATGGTGAAATGGAGTGTGGATGACAGCACAAGAGTGCACTTCAAGTCTTTCACAGGAAAGGAAGATCTGTACAGAGTACAGGTTTAGGGCTTACTGTATTTTCACTAAAATGAACAAAATGAACTGTTGATTTTTTTTATTGACAATAACTCCTCACTTAAAGAATCTGTTGATTTCCAAGTGTTACACTTTACCAAATTAGGTAAAGCAGATGATCAGTAGCAGCTGTCTAACCCTAACCCCTCCAGTTGATCAAAGCCATTGGTTGGCTCTTGGATGAAATAACCAGGATGACAAGCCCCTCCCTTATGCTAATGGTGGGGGAAGATTGACCAGGAAAGGGCTAAGCATCCTCTTAGAGACAAGAAGTAGGAATGCACATTTAGGGAAGGAAAACTCAGAGCCTGAGACCCACAGCTGGGCAGCTCCATCAGCTGTATGTCCACCTTGCTCTGCAAGTGTTGACACTCACACTCAGTCCATTGAGGAGGCTGTGCAGATGACGGCAGGCTCAGACAAGCCTGGTTAGGAGGCACAGTTAATAGTCAGTCCTCAGTTGAACTCATCCTAAGGGGGATGCTCAGGTTAACAGAACTTCAGCAGAGAAAAGGAGCTGGAAAAAGAGGATCTTCTAGTCAGTGGCTCTTGATAGTTCTGGAGTAACAGGTAACTGAGTCATTATGTCATCCATGCGTTCCTTGGTGCATTTGCTCTTGTTTCTCTGAGTGTGTGTGTTCTTGTGTCTCCATGTCTCTGTGTGTATGTTCTGTGTCTGAATGTTCCTGTCTGTACATTTGTCTTCCTGATTTATTTGCTTTCTTGTTTTAGCAGGGAAAAAAATCCTGGTTCCCACATGGACCACATCAAATAAAAAGCATTTGAAATATTAAAACAT